AGACTCTTGAACATACCATGAACCATCAAGAAAACAAAAAGGTCTGTCTTGGAGAGGGTGAAACCAAGTTTCTCCTTGGAGGCTAGGATTTTGAACCTTTGTTTCACAATACTTTGAACATGTGGCCAGGAGAGAATGGTCTTTGCAGAAGAACATCATTCTTGGAAGGGTGGAGGGACAGTGTAGGAGAGGAAGACCCCAGATGAGATGGATTGATACAGTGTCTGGGGTAACAGGAGCTGGTGTGTTGAAATTTTTAGTGAGACTGGCTCAGGACAGGGCAGGGTTCAGAGCTGCTGTACGTCAGGTCACTACGGTTCACAGGTGACTCGACGGCACATAACATCTACCACCACCATCCAGATCTACACATGTAAAAACTTTGAAGCATCTACAGAGATTTCTTTAAATGTTAACTTCTCCTTCAGACATTTGCCATTAGGTAGATAATGCTCTTCAGTTTGCACAGAACTTCACTTGAATCAAACAAAAAGTCACAACAGAAAGTCAAGATTACAAAGTAATTTCTTGGCCTAAATATTTGGGCCAGATTTTTAATTAACTGGCTGACTGCCAAATTCACTTTGCTTTATGCTTTTAAGACATAGCCAATGAGAACAAACAAACCATAAGCAGACTGGCCGGATGGGACAGAGAATTATGATTTTTTTTCTTAAATGAAACACTTAGCCATTGGGTTTTGATTGGATGTTTCTGGCTTACTTCAAATCTCTTTATACTCTGGATGTACTTGTTTGATCAAATTTTAATTTGCTTTAAGAGGCCATATGAATCAAAGTTAAATATCAAAGTGCCTGGAATCTTTTTTAAGCAGTTTTATAAATAAATGAACAAAACAAATCTTTTAATTGAAACTCAGTGGATCACATAGGTCTTTGGGGGTACATCCAGTGGTGAGACCTGCTTGGGGGTCTGGCGGCCTAAATTATGTCTTGTGTAGGTGCATGTGAAGGGGGTGGAGCAAGAGGTCACAGTAACTGCTGTCACCCAGACATGGGCCACCCAGGAAGGGATCTATAAGAAGCAAGTGATATGAGTTCAAGGTCAAGTAGGGGCATTCTTTGGGCTTAAACAGTTGTCATGGTGTAAAGGATTTTAAAAGGTAATAATATTACCAGGTGAGGATCAGGAATAAAGAAATGCAGATGAAGTCTCTAGGTGGTATACATGGTTTAGGTGTGAGGCTGCCTTCTGAAAGGTTGGAGGTTTGAGTCCATTCAGAAGCACTGAGGAAGAAAGGCCTGGCAATCTATTCTTAAAACAAAAAACAAAGCCCCAAACCAGTCACTGAAAACCATCCAGTCCAGCTCCAGTTCCTCTTTTAAAAAAACTGCCATCGAGGCAGCTTCAATTCATGTCGATCTCATATCTGTCCACCGGTAGACAGCTCCTAGGCGGAGACATGAACAGTCTCTTCCTCTGAGATTTTCATCCTCAGAAGCCCAATGGTAGGTTGGCTGGAAGGTGATTCCAACTTGATGGCAATGAGTTGAGTAGAAAAGGTACATCAAAGAGCCCTGGGAGAGTGGATTAAGAGTTGGGCTGCATTATGTTTTATAAGATCAATTACGGTTGGACCTTGCCCATCACTACCCAGTCTTTTCAGGGCCCTGCTGAATCCTTCCCATTTCCTTCAAAATGCACGGAGATGATTGTACAAAACAGAATAGGAACCAAGAAGAGTGTGAACTACAATGCATACGACCTTTGTGAGCAAACCAATATAAAAGAAATAAATAGAGTGGTGTTAAACAAGAAGGGGGAAAAAAAGAGTTGGGCTGCTAAGTGAAAGGTTGGCAGTTCGAATCCATCAGCAGCTCCATGGGAGAATGATAATACAGCTTCTTCTTATAAAGAGTTACAGCCTTGGAAATCTCACGGGACCGTTCTGCTCTTCCATGAGGATCACTGTGAGTCAGAATCATCTTCACAGCATTGAGAATATCTGCAGAGACGACAGCCTCCCTGAAAAATCTCGATACCCTGATCATGAGGCCCTCACATCACATGCTCTGGTACCAGTGTTCCCGTCCTGCCTTTCCACACTGACTCAGGGCCACATGACATACGGAGGGCAGAGATGATGTCAACAAAAGCCTGTAAAACATTGACGCGCCGAGGCTTTCCCTCTGGGAGGCTGTGATTACCAAGCTGTGACGAAGCTGAAAGGAACAAGCAGGTGGAGAGAGAGGCCTAGTGACCCGTGAGCTCAGAGCAGCTGCCTGGGTGAGCTCAGCAGAAGGGCTTCGCTAACACAGCAGCAAGAGACATTACAGCGTTCCTGTTTAAAGTCCCTACGTTCGGGAGGTGGTTTTATTATGCAGCAAAGAGAGACTAAAGCTGCTTCTGCCACAGGAAGTAAATCAAATCCTGAAGGTTTGAGACGCAATCTCATCTGGAGCTGCAGAGTCTGCCTGACACTTTAAATACTGGTCACAGAGACACTGCAGGGTTGGCCTTCAGAGCAAAACAACAAGAATAATTCCACTGCCTGGCAAACTCATGTGCACCAGCTTGGACGCAGGGCTGGGAAGGGTTTGTTTTTTTTTTTAATGGATGATTTTTCCCGAAGTGGATCACCAGGGCCTTTCTTCAGCGGTGCCTCTGGAAGGGCTAGAACCTCTGACCTTTCTGTTAGCACCTGATACAGTAACCATTTGCTCCACCCAGGGACTCTATCTCACATGGGCTGAGATGGGGTTTCTTCATACCCTGCTCCCCTCCCTCTAACTCCTTCACTCCCAATCAATGCAAATAATTATTACCACTTGACTCCCTCCTGGCCAGTCCCTGAAAGTAGAAAATACCCTAGCCACCTGCCACCAGGTCTGCATTCTTTGGGCAAAGTGCAGTATCTAAGTGGCTGTCACATTTTGCTAGCTAATAACCATCAAATGGCAACTACCTCGGGCTCTTATGTCATTAGAATAACACACGCGAAGGGATAAAAGCTGCTTTGTAACTGGCTATGTAAGAATAATAGTTCGCTCTCTTTGTTGGCAGCTAGAGGGGACAGATTGGAAGCAGGAGTGGAATCCACTTCTGAAATAGCTTGCCTCTGGAAACCCTATGAACTTGGAGAAATGAAGAAAGTTCATAGGGTCGCTATGAGTCACCTACAACTTGACAGCATTTAACAACAACAACAATGAGAGAGCTCTGTGGACCTGGTGGATAGAAAGTGATGTTACCAAGCCAAAGATGGGTGATTTTAATCTGTGGCCCTCAGGCCTGGTTTTAATTGTTTTTGGTCAAACATTCTTCTAGGTGGTATAGCACTGGTCTGTCTATTTGCTGTACAGAGGTAACTCATGGTGGTTGTGATGCTGAACACTGTGACCCTGATGTGTCAAATGCGATGATGGTTACTCATGGTGGACAGTGTTTGGTGGGGCTCCCAATTAAAACAAGCTTGGAAGCAGGAGTGGCATCCACTTCTGAAATAGCTTGCCTCTGGAAACCCTATGAACTTGGAGAAATGAAGAAAGTTCATAGGGTCACTATGAGTTGCCTATGTATGACTTGACAGCATGTAACAACAACAAGAGGGAAAAGGCTTAAAGTCCAAATTGCTCCTTGATCTATGGCAACTGAAATTCTATGCAAGTAATCCGACAAATAGAGGGCACAAAGGGCAGAGTTCAAAGGCACAAGAAGCACTGCTAATTAGAGACCAATCTCTGCTTGAAGCAGGGACCCGGAGCGAGGCCGGCAGTCTCCTGCTCACATGTCTCTCGCTGGCTCATCCTGCTGTGTCCCAAGCTTCCTCACGCCGCTTAGCAACACCGCTCTGTAGTGAACGTGAGGAGGGCTGGGAAAATGCTTCATCCAGAGCCTGGTGCGAGTGGCAGTGCCATTCCAGACAGGCTAGTGTCTTCGCCCTTGAAAGGGGCCAATTTTGTTTAGTATGGTTTTGTTTTCTGTATGGACTGACTGCTTCATAAAGCTTTCCACGTGAAGAGGGGAAGGAAAGCATTGTGAGCAAAAGCACTCAACATTTTAAAGCTACGTACAGGTAATTGTAGCCTTCTTTCCCACTCTCGCTTATCAGCAAGGGAGGGTCTGTCTTTTATGATGAACACAACAAAGAAGAACAGCCTGGCCCCTCCGCGCTCACCCTTTCTATCCTCTCAGCAGAGGCCAGGTGCTATTTCAGTCAGTCCTCAAAAGGGCTGTATTTATCGTGAGAAATCCGAGCGAGGTTTGATGAACTCTAGCAGCCAACGGCATCTGTTGCCACAGATCTGCTCAGAATCTGGAAGGGCACTGTTTACTTTCCGGCTTCTCCTGAGACCGTCACACTAACTGGGCAGCTGGTGTTACTTCCTGACTGCAGGAATGGGCATTCTTGATAGAACATTCTGGAAGGTGAGCTCAGGGCCACAGGGGGAGCAGAACTGTGCTTCAATAACTGTTCACAACGCCAAAGAGGTGATTGCCGCATAAAAGCCGGTTCTATAATTTACCAAGCGAGAGGAGCTATCTAGTTTGTTGCCAATGCATCTCCTTGGCAATTACTGTCTAAGGTTTCAATGGTTCCCAGCACACATTTCTTGACCTGATGCTAAAAATCACCTCCAGCCAGGCCATTAAGTTTTTGCTGACTCCACGAAGCAGAGTCCCTGAAGCAATTATAATCAGAACTATATTTGCTATTCCAGGCTAAACACTGAAAATGGTCAGTTAAAGTACACTTTATTTGGTTTCTGGTTGCTTATCCCATCCATCCATCCATCCATCCATCCATCCATCCATCCATCCATCCATCCATCCATCCATCCATAGTCCCCACCATATAATGAATTATGTGAAAGGCTATGTAAGAGATAAATGGCTTGTGTCCTTGTCCACCAAAGTCCAGCTGGCAAGTCACCATGCCTCTGAAGTGACAACAAAAGGTTTGGGGTTTTTTTTAGTGTAAGTAACGAGAAGGCTGGTATGGGATGAATTCTTTCCCTTAAGCATCTCCCTTTCCTTACCTTGCTCTGATGGGTTGAGATCCCAGTCTGGGTCCCAGCGCACTACCATTCCCAGGAGAATTCTTTCTGGCTAATGCTGGGGATATAGAAGTTGTTCTTTGAGGCACCTGGAAAAAGAATTAGGGCTTAGATTTTCTGAAAAATAACTCCCCAGGACGACTACCTGAACAAGCCTACTCCTTGCTCCAAGATTCACGAGGAGGGACAGAAATTATCTCAAATAGAGAAGAAAGAATCCATTCCTCAATCAAATACTTAGCTCCCTAATCAAAAAGCAAGGTCCACAGCTTCAAGGCAATGAAGTACCTTCAACAAACAATTAGAGGGGCCACTCAGTTTCAAAGACAGACAAAATAGGACAGAAATAATTAGCTTCAATGATTTGATTCACGGGGCTAAAAATAGTTGATCTCTACTGAATCTGGTGGTGAAAACCAGCAATCTCTTTGGGGACCATTAGCTCAGCCCATCCTTAAGAAGCTGCAATAGATGTGAGTCATCCCCATACAACTAACGGGCAATTTTAGTTCACAAATGGTAAACATAAGGAAATGATGAAACCTGGGCAGAAATCAAGATACTGGACGATAGAGAATGTGGTCCACGGGTGGCACACCAAGGAAGGGAGAGAAACTATCACAGTAGATGCCAAGTGTTTCTACTTCGTAATTAATCTGAAATGACTAACTAAAAAATAAATCCAAACAAAATACTAAAAGACCAATTCACCACTGTAACACAAAACAGGTTTAATATTGAAAATAGTGGATGAATTTAAAGCAAGACTGTGGAAGTACTGCTAAGGTTGTGATGAGATATAGGAAAATTCATTCATCTGTCAAGGGCCCAAGGTAGAATTCAAGTATATAAATATTACTGATGAAATTAGATATAGGTGGACCAAGTTAACGTGTTCTAAAAGAAATCTAATTACAAATCCTAGTCCAAAAAATTACTTGAAGTGTAAAGCATTAACCTTTATATCTTTTTCTAAAATTGATTTTTATTATAATTCATTTAAAACAGATGAGGCAGTGAAATGAATTAGAAAGACCAAATCAGTGCTACAACTGCTCAACTAAATGTCACCACTACTATTTTTCTTTTTCTTCTGAAAAACTTAATTGTACAAAATAAAAAAGTCTACAGAGTTAATAAAAAGCTGTCATCTTTCAAATTATCTATCCTTTCCTCCAAGCTGCATAAATTGTGTTTTCAGAGAGTGTCTGCCTCTTCTGCTCACCTTACTTTACAAAGTGAAGCTTGATTTCCATTTAATCTTTTCTGGTGGCATCTCTGGTTCCAGAAAGAGAGTGGGGGGAATACCAACAAAAATGCCACTAAAGCTGTATTCATTTTTAAAATAGTAAAAAGCTCGTTGTAATATTCTTTTGGGTGAGAAAATCAGAATCTTTGAAAACCACCAAAAGTAAACGATAATATTTTCTGGAATGGGTGAGAATTTTCATTTGTTGTAACCCTTATGTTGAATTTAAGAGGAAGAATTTCTGAACTATGAGAAATATAGTACAAAAAGCTATCTGTTATTTTTTTCAAAAAATCAAATTATCAATGGAATCCAGACATTCTGGATCCACTGAAACCAAGTGAATCCCTAAGAGTTCCCTAAAGTCCTAGTTAAAGTTTATCTAAATAATTAAAGTACACTGTATTTAAAGAATTATCTATATGAGGTCCAACTGTCATGAGTAACTCGAAAGGTTAGATGAGAACTCAGGAGGCAGTGAATATAAAGCGATGATGGTAGGACTATAGGAAAAAGACTGGTGAGAATGTTGGCACAACTGAAGAATGTAAATACTGCCACTAAATTTAACATGTACAATTGCTAAAAGCTTAAAGAGTTATGTTGTTTATTGTTGTTAAGTGCCATCAAGTCATAGATGACTCACAGCGACCCTATGGACGAAAGACCTGAACACTTTTATAACTTTTGTCATTTCTCCACATTCATAGCGCTTCCGGAGGCAAGCCATTTTGGAAGTGGAATACACTACACTCCTGCTTCCAATAAAGAATTACAGAAATGAAAAAAAAAAAAATAAACTTATCTAGTATTTCCCAAATGGTCTTTCTTGCTTGTAGTCCTGAAATTACTAATGATTTGGAATTGACAAAACCAAAACAAAATAACCAAACCTAGATCTGTTCCATGTAGACGGATGGTTGATCATTTCACACTAGAGTTTTAGCTTCAATAATGAATTACTATTGGAATTATATTATGGCCTGGCAAAAAAATACTCTTTTCTCAAATGTGGCCAACTAAAATATCCTAAGAACATTATGGTCTTTCAATATTTGTAATAGAATTTCAAGTTGTATTTATTAAAAAAAGAGATAAAAATGAAATTTCCTTAATATCTGAAAGTTTTTCATTTGTCTAAACATACTAAGTAGGCAATCAACACATACATTATTATATTTATTAATATATCTTATTATATTTACTAATAGATCTTAATATAGTTCTTAATATGAATAGTAAAATAATGGTTTAGAAGTGTGGCTATGAGAGTTCGAATTCAAAGACTTTTTCCTTACACTTTATGGACCATGCTAAACAATCCATGAACCTAAATTTCAAAGAAATTTTCTCAATTTTCGAGGAGGCTGATCATGAATTCTCAAAGTCTGGGCTGTGGGATGGGGTGAAATCAGAAGCGAGGGGAGGCAGGGAGGGTCTTTTGACACAATCACATTCTTCATAACGACAGAAGCCATGGGGCAGTGGTCAACGTGCGGAGATGATCAATCACCCAGCAGAGTTACCTTTGGTGGAATGTCTTCTTCCTGTCGTAACCAAGAGCTTCGGTCAAACTTTTCGATGCGAGTGGGGAGAGGCGGGTTTTCCGAGGTGGGGTCCGAGTTCTGGCGTGGCATCTCGACGCGGTGCGAGGTCACGTTCAGAGCCTCCTGGAACCCAGACAGGCCCTTTGTGGGCTGCTCGTGCACCGACTGGGATGCGGTCAAGGCCGGTCCCTGGGATTTCACAGCCACCAGATGTGGAATCTAAACCCACAACAGAGCAGAGCTTTCAGAAGGGAAATCAATCTGCCGATACCTCCATCAGCTGAAGGGCACACGGAGTTCAAGGCCACGAGAACTGGACTGTGTGATGTTCACCGCAGCTATTTATAGCATGCTTTAAAAACAGTTTACAAAAGTCCAATTTAGAGCTGTATGCAGAGCGGAACCAGGGTCCCCGGCACACAGCTGAATGATTTACTTGGGATTGTTAAGCCGTTAGGGAAATAAGTATGACAACAACAACAACAACAACAACTGCATTTACTAGACATTTATTGCTTGCAACATAATCTATTTTACAGACTTTTAATAAGAAAAACTAAACTGCCTCCTTTACAACTTTTAACCTTGGCTATATATAGAGTCCGGCTGGCTGCTCCGTCAACATGACTTACACTTAACAAACTAATTCCACCAGGAGGTGGACATATTCTTTTCCACGTGAGTAATATAAGGAAGACTGAGCTCTGGTGATGTAATTCATAGTAATTTTCACTTCTTAACACAAAGGCTGTGTTGCCTCCAGCACAAACCTATCGGCAGCTACACGGGGACAGATGGGTAGTCTCCTCTGGTTGAGATTTGCAGCCTCTGAAATCCAATGGAAGGTCATTCTGAGTCAGATCCTACTTGACAGCGGTAAGTGTGAGAATTTGTTTCCTTAATATATAGATCCTACAGCTAACGTATCCTGGAGCCCGAGCTTGAGGCCAGGTTTCGTACTTGCAGAGATCATATGCTTGACTGCTTTCTGGCCAACCAGGTAGCTGCTTTTCTTGTTCTTTCTGTCTCATTACCTATGGTACACTTCACTGCGGCACCAGTATGTCTATTTTAAGTTTTGAATGTTCCCCAATTTGACGTGTGTTGATAATGTTCATGCAAAGGAGACATGTTGAGGTTTTGGTGGAAATGTATCTTTTAAAATAAAAATTATTTAAAATCTAGTGTGCGGTCCTTTCATGATAACTCTGTTGCTTTGTTTTAAGGGTTCGTTCTGCTTGTTTCGGACACTTGCTGGTACGAAGCTCCCTGGGAATAGGAGCCATCTCTGCTTTGCTCTTATGGTGTGTCTGGGTCTCGTACAGGCCTAGCATATGGGATATATTTACTAAACACCGACTGGACAGAAACTGGAGATGCTTCCTAAACTAAATTGTTAATTTATGAACATTCATTCGGTGCCTGCTTTGCTCAACTGACCTGTTAGAGCTTCTTCTAATCTGAAAGTGTTAAGACAATGCCAACCGTAGTGCAGAGAAAACACTTAGCATTTGACTTAGCTGAACATTCGTGTCAATCTAAACTAATATTGTGTATTCACTTAATGTTAAATGTCATGAAATATGTTAAGATCTTCGAGATCGTGGTATCCCCCGTTGCCAAGTAAAGTACTGCCTGTCAATTTTAAATGCAAAACCACATTGCAGCTGTGTTGGAACTGACACACAGCTGACCCTCCAGCGGGTTTCTGGGCTTGTAAATCACACAGAGAATCCTCTTCCTCAAAACTGCTGGAACACTTGAACCGGAGAGAGGTGGACCCTTTGGGGCAGAATGGTACCCTGTAAACTACACCAGTTTTGGCGGTAAAAGGACACTTATTTCTACTTTGCAGACACTCCTTTGGGAGTTTCTCCAAAGAAGCCAGAGAGGTCTTGGTCTCCTAAGAGGCCAAATGACCGAGAAGTGACTTTCTGTTTGACTTTGAGTGTGAGGCTTTGCTCCCTACTCAGTTCTTCGACTTTGGTTCAAAGCAATAACTCAGTTTAGTAGCTGAGTACTTAAAGCAGTGTGATACCAAGACTCCTTTAACAAACCGTAGGACCCTCTGCATCACTATGTCTTCTATCTTAAGGGCTAGGATGTGACTGGTCTTACTCTGAACCCATGTTCCAAGTTTCCATGCACTTCATTCTACATCCTTTTGTAACTGTCTCTTAGAACAAAGAGGAGTCTGGACTGTACCTGGGGATCCACTGGTCTGAGCATGGGGGGCGTCCGAGCAGGCTGAACCCCACTAATGCTGAAGGACTCCGACCTCGGGGGCAGGTTGGGGTCAGATATCCTGTTGGCAACTTTGTGAGGCATTGCAGGTGAACTCTGCCGGTTAAGCCGCGACCGCTCTTCGACCTAGAATCAACACAGAGAGAGCGAGCGGGGCATCAGTCCACTTCCCGGCGAGGGCTCCCTGCAGTCCCCTGCACAGCCACTCTTCTGTCCCTCTGCTAATTCATTCTTAGAGGCCAAAGCTCTCCATTCCTGCTCTGCATCTAGACTTTTAAAAGCACTCGTCTGTCAGAGCAAACGCTAGCAACACACAACGCCTGATGCCTGGGCAGTCACCCTTCTGCGGCCCGTTTCCTTTAGCTGTTTCAGGTAGCCCTGGATTTGGAAGCAGCTGGCCTTTGTCTTCCCTTGATTAGGATATTAACTTGCTGATGGGTCCCAAAGCCAAGGGGTCGGTGAGGGAGACTGTGCGTCAGAGACAATCTGGGAAACTGAGAGGTATTAAGACTGTTAGAAGAAAATACAGAATTGCTTTGGGTTGGAGTGCTCCCTGACTCAGGGAGGAAGGACGGGAAGGACAAGCGGGGTGGGGGCTGAGGAGAGGAAGAGGTCTGGCATAACTAACCCCCCACGGCCTCACAAGCCCCCCTGACAGTCAGGGAGGCGTTCCGTGCAGCTTCTTAATGAGCAGGAACTGTCTTAAATAGACTCCCTGTATCATTTTCTTTTTGTCTCTCTGGGACTCTTTCTCTTCAGTTGTCTCTCCTCACTCCTGAAAATACACTGCTCCTCCTCATCCTGTTCCTGGCAGTGACGGACCCCACTGCCTCCATTCCCCACCCCCTTCCTTCCTCCCTGCTCATTCACGGGGGTGTTCATTCTCTCTCCTCTTCTCTTCCGTCCCAGCCCTCTCTCCTCTCAGGCCAACCCATCTTGTGATCCTCCTTCTCCCAGAGCCTTCCCAGCCCAAACCACACAACCGATGTGAAAAGCCAGGAAGGTTCAGAGGGAAAAGTGACCGGAGGATGCCAGCATCACCCTCGGTCATGATCACAACAGGCAGACTGCACGGAGGACCATTTTAAAGGGACATTTAGACAAATAATACGTATAGATCGGGACATGATAAGATCTTCAACACCTTCAAGAGTCCTGGGATTTTCTCCCAGCTCCATCGTGTCCTGTCTGGTTACTTTTTTTAAAAGGTCAATTTGACTGTTTACTTTCCAGATCCAGGACAATGGAACTATTCTCTGTACCCTGTGACCCTTTAATGTGAGCTTCAATTCTCTAGGGTTGACTCATCATCTATGTGTTTTGACAGCCTACACGCAGGTACTCGACATTCAAGTCTCTCTACCTGTCTACGTAATCTGAGCAGCAGCGGAAATGATCTTTTCACTATCTGATCTGAAAGAAAAGTTCACTTGTTCTGATCTCTTTACTGCAAGCTGAATCTTTCTGGAGGCTGACTCAGGTTCATAGATGGAGTCAGTTTGCTTCTTAAATTGTCACACTGACCTAAAACATTTTAACACAGAGATACAAGAAAGGAAAACAGCCCTCCCACCTCCCTTGAGGAGTACTTTGGACATCTTGTTCCCCACCATGGCTGTGCAGGAGACATACAATTAACTGTCACATTGTTGATTTTGGTTTTGAAATTCCATGTCCCAGAAGCTTACCACACACCAAGTAAGATTATATGCAAAAAGCCAGGAATACAAACCAGGAAATGTATACTTTGCATTTTGTGTGGCTGCACACAAAGTATGACTGATACCAGCAAGAATTTTCCAACTATATAGCATGGCGTAGAAGAACAAAGCCAGCTTGGAGATAGGACCACAAAGAGGAGGAAACCCCACAAAGGCAGCAGTCGATACACCAACACCAAGGCATGCAATATATTGATCTTTCACATACCAGACCTTCTGGGAAGAAGCCACCTATCTGTTTGTTGTTACTAAATGCCCGTGAGTCAACAATGACTCACAGCAGTTCTATGAACAGAGGACCAGAACCCTACCTTATCCTGTGCCATCCTCACTGTCTCAGCCATACTTGAGCCCACTGGTATGGTCACTGTGTCATCGACACTATTTCTAGGCCACCAGATTTGGCCAAACATTAGCCATTAGATTAGATAAATCATACCTCTCACTGTCAAAGCTTCTGTTACTCAAGTCCAGTCACATTTTTAGATAAATACCCAAATACCCAAACACTAGCCACTTGTTATTTGAATTTCAGAAGCTCAGTCTATTTTGACTTTGAGGAATATTGGAGGTTTTTACTTTGAATTGTAATGTACACTCTGACAGTTTCAACTTTTTCATGAGCCATGGGATATATAATATCTACCATGATTTTCAGTTTCTTGGGTTTCTTGGTAAGTTGTTTTCCCAGTTGTAGTTCATGCTACCACCTGGATACTCTATATAACTTCATGATCTGCAGAAATGGGCCTTTCCAACCCTCGTGCCATTACAGTCTAGTTGGAATAGATGTGTCTAACAGGATTGTATCAAAATTCTGATTACTTCAGCGTAATTTTACTTCCTTAATTTCAGCATCCCATCCATTAATGAAAACACATGGGTTTTGAACGGAAAATTCAAAGCAGAAAATAACTTGGTGATGCAAGGATGCACACTGAAAACAAGACAGGGAAGTCTGACCTAAAAGACTGGAGCTTAAACAGTTTGTCCAAAGTACCATGTGAACTAGCGCTTCCATGTCTCTGAGATCAGAGGAACTAGATGGTACCCAGCGACCACTGTTTACTCTCTAAGGGGTTACAGAAGAAATTCCTGGGAAGACTGGGAGAAAAATGTGGAGCAAAACTCAAAATCATAAAAAATGTTCAGGTTCAATGGTCCGACAGGGACTGGTGGAACTCTCAAGACTATGGCCCTATCACCCTTGAAGCCTGAACATGAACTCAGTCTTGTAACTCCTCTTTGAGCCAA